TGGCTAAGAGATTTTAAGTTATCCTAAAATTGTAAGAATAATTGCATAAAACTACAGTCGTTTCAAGACCTCCTAATATTACTGCGATAGAATTTCCTAAAGCCAAGAAATATATACGTACCCAGTCATTCTTCCTCCTAAACTGTACTGAAACGAATGATAGAACAAAAACTCGTATCAGGAGTCTGAAGTGAAAGAAACTCTTTCACTTCTTATTCTTCGAGAGAAGTTTTACATTTTGAGGAAAGAAAAACGGTAGGTTCCATTGCACGAAAATGAATTGTTTGTAGAAGAAACCAATCTAAAGCTTTCAAGTTTCTAATAGATCTCTTCCAAAAAATAGAACGAGCGACCGGAGTCGACGCAGGGCGACCACTTTTTACTCGTTCACACACGAAAAACAAACGCTGGATTGTTATTTTTACCAGAGCTGTCCACCTTGAATGCATCCAATCTACGAGTAGTATTGCCTTTATGCAAGCCCTAAGGCGATTTATAACCGGAAAAGTAAGAATACTAGTTACATATTAGGAAATCGGTACTATTTTCACTATAGTAAATTCCTTTAAAACAATTAGATTGGAATGATATTCAAGGAGAAGGCAATTTACAAAATATTCAGTGGAAGTTCAGTCCTCTCACTGCTTCTTGATGGGGAGGTGTTTGGGAAATCTTGATAAGGATATTAAAGGATCTTTCAAAGAAAATTCTGGGGCTAGTATCATTAAGTTATAAGGAGCTGAACACACTGCTATGTGAATGCGATTCTATCATAAATAGCAGTTCACCTGCTTACTTATCTGAGGAAACTGATGAATTGAGTGTATTGAAATCATCAATATCTTTTAAGAAGCCTTTCCGGGCAATGAGTTAGGTGATCTAGATAACTTCAAGAAATTTCTTTGGTGAAAATTTTAAATTGTATCCAAACTTTAAGAAAGAAATTGAGAATGGTTTAAACGGGAATATCTCGGACTGCTTAAATCGGATACAGTCAGATATACAGATGCCGTTAAAACTGTAGATATTATTATAAGTGTTAATTATGGCAAAAGGCAATTAAATTGGCCGATTGTAAAGCTTGTTTAAGTATTTACCAGACAAGATGGTGTTCATCTACTTGCAAGAGTAAAAACAGCTAATATGTATCAATTAAGGCCTATACAGCGACTATATCCTTTAGAAATTAATTGTAAAGCAGAAGGATTTATCGAGCAAAAGAGAACTTTTAATCCAGCGGACTAAATCTTTTGAATATCATCTTTCGCTCCTCGCCCTTCATTCTGCCCCTATTCATCAGCATTGTGAAGATAGATAGCAGTCGGCTCAGACGGAATCATCATCAAGACTTATAACACTTGCTTATCGAAGCTATAACCTGCCTGACTAAAATTATTAATATATTAATGAAATCTGCTTACATCAAGCATGTCTTAAACCATGTTTTAATAATCGTCTCACCCAAACGTTATCAGAATTTCCATTTTCGTTAGAACTCTTATACCATCAACCTTCTTAGCCAACTATTCAAAATTACAGTGAAAATCTTTATCACCTAAATCAGATTGTGCCTCCAAATTCCTACTCTGCAGAAGAACAGTTTGTGTTCCACACAACATAGCATTAATCATGAATTTCTTCGAGTCATATCTTTTGACTGATGGATTCAACTGCAAACCTTCAATCGGTGCCATATTCCTTGATATTACGAAAGCTTCCGGTAGTGTATGGCGCAGGGGAATTATTTTCTAACTAATAAAGCTCATCTTTCCAGATAACAGCATCAGATTATTAGCACTTTACCTCAATAATAGGACCTTTGCCTTAAAGGTAATAAATGCTAAAAGTACAACGAGAAATATAACACAGCTGGTGTCCTCCAAAGCTCAGTTCTGTCATCAGGTTTGAAAAATATTTACACCTACGGCATTCCTAAAGATCCCTATATCACTTAGTCCTTATTTGCAGAAAATACAGTAAATCTGGTGCAAGCATCAAGAATTTCAATAATCAAATTGCAATTACAAAATTACCTTTTTCATCTCCAAAATTGGTTAACGCTATACAGTATAGCAGTCAAACAAGCAAGAAAAAATCCCTATGCTACGAAAACGACATACCAAATTTGCGCCTCTCAGCCCAGCTCTATTAATGATGATATTCATTGGGTCAAGAACATCAAGTATCTCAGAGTGATATTTGATAAAAAAATTCTTTTCAGCATCACCTCAGATCTACAGTTCAAAATATAATATCATACAAACATCTAGAAGGACCCTCCTTGGAAGACATAGCAATTTCCATTTACAAAAGAACTTATTCCCTACGTTCAGTTTTTCGACCAGCCATCCTTTATGACAGTTTCATTTGGGGGGTCATCCTGCCAAGACCAACTAAAAACATTCAAGTACACCAACACAGAATTCCAAGAGAAATCATCAACGAACCCTGGTTCATATCCAACTCGTGCATACATACATCCTAATTTGAATATTAAGACTAAAAGATATTCATAAATGTGTAACTGGCGTTTTCTGATCCGTTCTAACTCAATAAGATCCTTGCATTTTCCTCTTCTGCACCAATTTCCCTAGAAAGAAGCACAAACACCCTTCCGACATTCTAAGCTCCTAAAAGACTAGTTCAGCTTCCCTGATTTTATTCACATTTTCTTTCAACCTTCATTTCTTTTCCTCATCGATAGAATGCGGGCACAAAAAAAAATCTGAAATATCTTTATCAATTGCAACTAGGAGAACAGCATATTTCCTCTTCGTATAGGGTAAAAATAGCAGTAAAATTTACGCAAGAATTAAAACCTGCACATTTGCACGCGGAAACTCGGCGGCTAACATGCAATTTTCGTCGTCGTCTTCCATTTCGTACTTAGCCAAAAAGAAACTAAAAAAAAGCTTGCAAAGTAGCATACGCAAATAGGTTATTGATGTTATACTCCTTACTCTTTTTTTGTAAAAAGCATGCCCGAACAAGGTGATGTCGTCTGAAACATGTTCCAAGAAAAATCGTTGCATCGAAGAAGGTGGTGTATTTAATTATGGCAAAGCACACTAGGGCTATCTGCCTAACGGGAGGAATGCCTTCGTGGAGGACTTTCTAAGGTAGACTGGCTCGTATACACGTTACACATGGGGAAAACCACGAAAACACCCATGCAGCCAGCCCGTTCGCGGGATTCGAACCTCGGACCGAACTACCAGTGTTCAGCGACTTTACCGCTCGGCCGCTGGTGGGCCTGCATCGAAGAAGGAAACTTTGGAAAAGCTCATTGTTACACACAAAATAAAAGTTAAACTTTGAAAAAAATTATCGTTGCCATAAAAACAAAACCTTGTAAAAATATCACATAATTTAACACGTATAAATCACTTTTGAGCGTATGCTGATCCAAGATGGTAGCTTTCTAGACTAAGTCCCCTTTCTGTTATGTCATTTTCGCCTACTCGGCACCGGGCATTCTAATAGCATATAATAAATGACATCTTTACATTTTTTGCCTGAATTCACAAAAGTCGTGTAATCGGTACCATCGAGAGCTGCAAATACAATTACAATAACTAATGGACATTACTAAGAAGCAGTTTAAGTTAGACACTACCATTGCCATTCCTAAATAAAGCTATTAATTTCATAAATTGGTTTTGTTGCCCATACTCTAAAATTCCTGAAAGTAATTGAAAAGCAATAAAATGGTGTTTATACATTTTTAGAACGATTTCGGAATCTTAATGTTTAAAAGAAAAAAACAGATACCAAAGAGCATAATAGTCCGCAGATGAAGCGTGAGAGGACTGCGAATGAATACTTTAAATATGTACGAGTATCAGTGTTCATTTCAGCATGGAATTCAGTGGTACTCTTCTAAGTATGACTTGTCGCTTTCTCTTGCTCAAGTTTCCCTTTTTGAAAGTCACTGGGATAAAGAAATTGAATTTCTTCTGTAAATATCGGACGTAAAACATTCTCTTAATAGTATGTAGAGTTGAGTTTTAGCAGGATTTTTCCCATTCTTCTTATTTTTGATTTCCCATTATAAAAGAGTCCTTCGATAATAATAAATCCCTTAGCGAAACTTTCTTTGAATTTACTGAACGAGGCTATGCATGTTTCTTCTCTCTTCAGTTTCAATAATTAATAGACTTTTTTTTTGTTGCAGCCATTTAGCTAAACCCATGCATCATCAAAGAGCACAGCGTACTCCATTCATATCCTGCTAAAAGGTTTTCAGACAGAGTTCTACAACTTGTTCCGCGTTAAGCCACATGTCTCGGCAAAAGTTCGTAAACATTATGTTATTTATCTTTTTTAAGTTGTAAATGTTGGTTTATTTTATTTATTGCTGCGACATATGCGATTAAAATATGCATTTGATATCTGTGTTTGCAGATTTTTCTTGTTGCCAACGGTTTCACTTTAGAAACAGTCCCTACCCTTTTTTGGGTATTCGTTTGGAGTCTTCTTTTTAGGTAGAAGTAATGATTAATGGATTTTTTCTTTTTCGATTAATTATGTTGCTTATTTTGTCCTTAGAAATTTGAATACCAGTATTTTGCAACGTTTTAGCATTATGGAATACGAATCTTTGTCTCGGAAAGCGCGAAAACATAACTTTCAATGAACAGCTTGTTTGCATGCGACATTTAGAAAAAAAGAATAGATTAAAAATAGCAGATAATATTTTATTTCAATAATAATCTGTTCACAGAACCTTTTTTCCGAAAATTTACTTTTTTTTTCCAAAACTATCAAAATCGTTCTAAAAATGAGTAAGCCTCTGTAACTCCTGGAAAAATGCGCGACTACAAAAGCTAATTTCTAGAAGTATTATATGTAAAATTTAATTCCAAGCTGAAGAATGTTAGAACAAAGTAACCAAGTAGAAAATGAATATACTTTGTTTTTATAGGAAAAAAATATCTGGCAAATTGTGGTTTTTTTATTTTTTTAATTTTAATCCTCGGTATTATGTACATAGTTAGAATTCACCTAAAATGTCCAAAGTCTGTAAAAGTCCAAGCGTTACTTTTATTTTTACATATACCAATAACATTTTCACCAGTCTTTAAGTCTTTAAGGCGTACCACCAGTGATTGAGGTAATCCGAGTTGAACAGCATCTTTCTCCACATTTCTGAAGATCTTTCTGATAGCTATAGTGCACAAGTTTCCTAAAGTACGACACTGCTTCGATTTATAATTAGCATACTTTAATAGTTGAATACTTTTTTCATTCGATACTTCAAAAATTTTCCATTTTTCTAAGGTAGTTTCCAAATCTTGAGTTTTTAAATTAGCACCAGAATCTAAGAGTACATCAACTAGCTTTTGATTTGCGTATTCACAAGCATAGTGTCAAGGCGTAAAGCCATTCTTGTCACGTCTGTCGATCTCACTGCCAGAAATAAGAAGTTTCTGAACTAAACTTTCTTTTTTTGCCTTAACTGCAATATGCAGGGCAGTTTCAGCCTGGTTATTAACATCATTAACATTACATCCACGTTCTATGAGCAACATGCAAAGATCTAGATACAAATCTTGATTTGTAGTTGAATTTTCATCAAGTAGCTTGTCTGCAGCAGCGATAAGCGGAGTTGTCCAAACTCTGCAGGCATAGTTAACCTGCAAAGGAAAGTAAACTTTAAAATTTCGTAAATTAAAATAATTGAAGAGTTACAGAAGCGACCTTAAACTTTTGATGAACCATAAAAAATTATATTATTCATCTCAATAAAGACCCCGTTATGAGAAATCTTTAGAAATGCTGCTGAAAATGCCGTGTATTGAATTAAATAAAATACCGATACAAAATTTCCTATAATCTTCATGATCAACGCGATCCTCTAGAAACACTTTCGCATATATATTTGTTTCATATATATATTATGATTATCGTATATATGTTGGATAAAAATATATAAATCAAAATTATAATTTAAACTAACGATAAAACTTAATACTTCCTCTCGGTTCTAAAAATCGTAACTTCTCTCGATTGCGTCATTTCTAGATAATTCGATTTTGCATGGCTTGCGCAGCGCTGATGACGTAATAATTGGAAATAAACTTAAACCAAAACATTTCTCATCGTGTACTTCCATCTTCCATAACTGCGCACTTCAGCTTTTGCCTCTGCTGCTTAGACCCTGCTTCATTCTGCTCTGTACCTATTGCAACAATATCAAAATTGTAAATGTTCTTGAATAGTGCCAAGGGATTGCGTCCACAAACGTCAACTGGAAAATAAAAATGAAATTAAAACCGCCTCGATTGCCAAGTTCTTTAGATATTACCATATTAGCAACATATTAGAATACTAAAAAATCAGAATTCTTCAATATGGATCCAAGTACGCATCAACAGTGTTCCGGCTTCTCCTTTCCTAGCTTTTATTATCTCATATACAAGTTTGTTTTACATACTTCTATCGTAGATACAGTGTAGAGATGTGCGTATTTGCCAGATAAAAATATGTAAAGCAAACGTTTGTTTTTAATCAGCAGTAGCTCTTTATTCTCCATTTTTAATTTGAGTATATCTCCTTCCTGTCTTAAAACATTAATTGTTTATAATAAACCAAATAAGATTTCTAGCGATATAAAAAACGTTTTTAGAACCAAACATTCTTACTCTCTCCAGTCTTTCTTCCGAGTGTCTTGCACCTTTCCGCTGGCTTGCTTCCAACTAATACGTTAGCGGCTATGTCCTCTATCATCCAGTCTTCGAGAGACTAAACCGCATGAAGCTACAGCTATGTTCGACTACAAGTTTCATAACTATTACGCATGCTACACATCAGCACCACCTACAACAGTCCGGCATGATTAAAAATTATTCGTGTTTTCTCGTGTACGCCCTAAATCAATACATTTACATAAAAGATCCGGTAGGACCATTTTAAACTTTACTGTGCACGGGTGCTTCAGTGGATAGTTCAGCGTATTGGTTTACTTCTTAAATTAAAATTTAAGTTAAAATGTCTTCGGCTATCTTTTGAATCGTCACTTACATAATGGAAAGTTCATCTGTGGAATTGCACAGTGCGGAAACAACAAAGATTGAAGCTGGCTTTATTTCTACTGATTTTATTTTGTTCTGCAACCATTATGAACCATGGCTCTGGATGCATCCAATATCCAGAAATGGAAAAACGATAACTTTAACCTATGAAAGAGATAAAAAGGCTAAAACTGGATTACGTATTTATTATAAGTAGCTTAGTAAAATTACTGAAACGGATTCCTAACGCATACCTAGAACAGATGCAGCGCTAGACTAATTTACAAATGCAAAAGTGTTTTCTACATCAGATCTAGCATCTTGTTATTGGCATATAAAATTAAATAAAAAAAAGCATTTACAACAAATTTTAATCTTTATGAATTCCACGAATTCCATTTTAACTGGTAAAATTCCACCATTGTTTTCCAAAGAGCTTTTAGAACAATTTTAAATAAATTACAAAGTCATGTTGATTTAATCTATTTTGATGACATCATAGTATTCTGTCAGAATTTTGAACAACTTTTAGAAGATCTTAGAACAATATTTGATATATCTGAAAAAGAATATGAAATTAAAGCTTTCGAAGTGCCATTTTGCTAAAGAAAAGTAATTTTGTAGGATAAGTTCATGCTAGAAAATATCAACCCAGCTATGCAACTGAAGCAATGCAATTGACGTCATTAAAAAGTTGCAACCACCTAAAATATTAAAGAAATATGAAGATTTCTTAAATTTACATCATAGTTATTCCAACTTAGGCAATAACTAGAGCTCATCGAAGAGATTCACTACAAAACATGTTCCATATGAATGGAAAACTGAATGTCAACCCTTCTTCCAAAGTTTAAACGGTGATTTAAGTTCCAGACCTAATTTAACGCTATTTAATCCAAATTATCACTGCCACGCATTTGTAGATGTACCTTAATTTGTAGAAGTTTTATATTAAGAACACTCTGATGGTATTTTACAACTTGGAGCTTTCGATTTTCGAAAGCTAAGATTTTAATTATAAAATTGCTGAAATAAAATGTCTAGCAATAATAGATGCTATAAATAAATTTTATTACTATTTGCATGGAAATCACTTCTCTTTTTTTTTCATCAAACTTACACCTGAAAACTTTCTCTTACGCAAAGTAAAATTTGTAATATTACTTTGAAAATACCTTAGGAAAGTGGTTCATCAAAGAATCTAGTTTAATGATTAGGTAAAAATTAGTTTTTTCAAACGAAAAAAAGCTTAAATTTCAAAAGGTATGAGAAAACACCAAATACACTTTGTTTCAGGCAGCCTATTTCAACGAAAACATCCATTTTGACACCTATCGAATGCAATTTAACGATGTTTTTTGCGCGACATCTGTGCGTAAGGACAGAATAAAAGACTTCCTCCAAAAAATTATAAAACTGCTTTAAAATGAATTGTGAAGAGAATTTTTCGTGGCGTCTCTACGTACGTGTGTATCTCGCAGAACGTTGAAATTTTGTATGAAGGACTACTATAACATGTAGATGTGCAGCTCGTATTTTGGTTGCAATCGGCCGCACCAAACATATATAAATATATTTATATATATCCACTCTGTTACCCGCCTCAGTGATCTCGGTTTCTTTACTCTTATATGTTTGTAAATTGCGCATTTTTTCTTTAAAAATGATTTAATTATGTTCTTATCTTCAGGTTAAGGTTTTCATGCCTTTAGGAAATCTGCAAGCAATATTTGTAAAATTATAACAATTTAAAAGCTGTTTAAGTGCGGTTAAGCTTAATTTTTAAATAACATTGCGGACATGTTTGTTTACATTTGAAACAGCAGAATAGTAGATTTGTTACCAATCTAGAGAAATTAAGCTTCGGAACAACAAAGATAACGCCTTCATTTATTACTGCGAATTAAATCATGCTTAATCCTTTCTGGAATTTTTTCGAGGAAATAAGTGTTTAAGATGTACTTCATAATTTTTAATAGAGATATTTTGAGTTTTTATGTATTTTTGCCTTGTTCCGAAGTGAGAACTGAATTAATTGAATGAGAAATACTGAATCCTCTGTGAAAAACTGTTTCTTTTTTGTTTTGTTTGCTTAATTTCTTTGGTACTTTTCCGTTTTGCCGGCGCAGGTGACAAAGTCGCCAATAATGGTACAAATGATGCCAAACGGAATATCCTCGATGGTAACCTTTTACGCCTCATTTCCAAAACAAGTCGCAGCCATTTCTTATCATATTGATTGTTTCTTTCAATACTGGCTTACAATTACATAGAATTTTATTAGTTCAATTTTATGTCCAAAGGCCATTCGCGGTATTTAAGTGAAGGATGCAATCACACCACTTACCCGAAAATATAGAAAAGGCAAAGTCAAACGTTAAGTTCATCGATTCTAATGAGAATGCACTAGCGAAGTAAAGCACTGCGGTTTTATACTATAATTTCTGAGTAAGCTATTCGAACGAATTGAAATAATTCTTGCATTTGAACTTATATTCTAAATTAAGATTTAACTTGAAATTAATATAGATAACTACCGAGAGAATTATTTTTGTAGCGTAGTTTACGCGAGATGAAATCACTTGGTCACATGATATGAACCATTATAGCATAGTAAATTCTTAAATTAATGCCTTTTTATAAATTTATTGCCTTTTTCAAAATTTTAAACAATGTTAAAATGTTTATACCTTCAAAATTAAAAATTCTTAGAACAAACATTTTTAAATACTTTTTGTGTATACTATATGTCGCCAATAAAGTTTGCTTGGCGAGATTTGTGCCGGCGAAACTGGAAAGTTCCATTTCTTTTATACGTCGTTCTAGATTTATACTATTTGAATAGAACATGTGGCAACGATTAGATAATTCTTTAAATGATATACATTTTGTGCATTCTGAGTTATAATATGAACGAAATATACCGCTGTTAAGTGAACCTAGAGTATCCCTATGGTAAACAAATAGAGTGAATTTTAAAGTGTGCATTTATTGTGCTTTATGCGCTGTCGACGATGTAGATTTAATTCAATCCAATAAGTTTAAATGAAATGCAAGAAAAAACGAGTATAATTTAATATTCCGTACAAATCAGTCATGTGGTGTACACATTAGACTTTTTATTATAAGTAGAAAATTGCCCAATTGTTTCAAGAGAGGGCAAAGAGTTTGTCTCATAATGTGAGAAAATTTCAAAAAATGTTTAAAAAGAGATTTTATGCGATGAAATTATAAATTAACTAAACACTTGCATGGCCAGCCGCCTAAATCTGTTATAATAAAAAGACAAATATAATAATTTTAATCAGTCCAGCTACTGTCATTTCATGGGTTAATGAAAAGTGCTCTTAAATCGCTTAGTTTGTTCATGAATAACAGACCTATTGAATTTGAAAGAAAAATTAAGTATCTTTGACGAAAGGCAACAGAGTGGCAATCCCCCCCTCGGTGCGTCCAAAATTTCTAAAATTTGCACAAATTATGAAATAAATAAAAAAGAAATTTTAGAGAAGTGCGTGTATTCAAAAATTTGTTGGCTCTAGGAGCCCGCGTCTCTACACGATGAGGGGAATATTCATACATATATGAACAGATACATACAAAATCTTTATTTAGTAATAGAGATACACGTCAAACAGTCGGGAAAAAACGTTCGCTCGTCACGATTTCACTCGTCACGATACATTAAATCAAAACTTTAAGGCTAAAAGCAGAATCCAAGAAATTCACTCTTTTCGATGCAAATAAATAGAATTCTTGTTGATAATAGCTATTTAGAAATGTTGAATGAGCAGTAAATCAGGTGTACAAAAAATTTAATTGAGGAATCGCCGACTGTTCCTTTCAAATTTATCCAAAGTACTAATCCACGCTCAGTGGCAGTCACTAAAAAGACGAAGAAATGTCAGATGAGTAAAGTTAAGTTTCCTAGCCCGGGCAAAATTATGGATTTCCTTGCTGACCTTTGGGTTACTAAACGCCCTTTCTAGACTGTATCAATGGACACGACGAGAAAATGCATAATTAGCAGTTTAGATATTAAATTTTCTGGATTTTAGCAAATCAATGAAGTTGTTTGCCTAGGAGGAAGGTTTGCTTACTGTTTTTCTGCATCAGTAATTTTCAGTGCCACATTTTTACATACGGCATTCCTGTAGATAATGCGCCCACCAGTGCCCGAGCTGTAAAGTCTTTGAACACTGGTAGTTCGCTCCCAGCGAACAGATTGGCTACATGGACGATTTCGCACTTTTCCCCGCGTGTATACGAACCAGTTTCCCTTGGAAAGTCCTCCACTAAGGCATTCCATTCGCTTAAGTAGTAATCAACTAATGTCCTCCCCCCCCTAAAAAAACGGTTCAGACTTTTGAACTGAACTTTTGAACAATTATGTTATTTATCATGTATTCTTGCACCAGAAATGATTCATCACATTATTTATTCGCCTCAGTTGTGCAGAGTTTTTAAGTTATACGTCCCCTCACTTGAAATCCTCAGACATTTTTATAACAAGGGATAAAGTGCCACTGTTGTTACCCTTCCAAATGTTAAACGATCCTCCTTGAAAACCTATTTCATGCATTTTCCTCTAGTCAGGCTCAGAGTGGGATCACCTCACATTTCAGCCAAAAGCTATTTTAGCAACTGTATACCTGGTGAAACAACGCACGTATCAACGTATCGTGTTGCTCTCAATGAAAAGCAGGGCAGGACGCCCGAGATCGGAACTCTAGACGAACAACCACAGTTTAGAGTTCTAATCACTCGGCCGCTGCTACGTTGTATTTACGTATTTTGAGAAAAATAAGATTGTTAAAGGTGTTAAATAACCTGACTGACTAAAAAGATGCTTCCTTTACATATGAAGGATCTCTATTGTAATTTGTTTCATGTCTTATTTTTCAGTTCAAATTTCCCGAGGGAGAGCTTTTCTTGCAATAAATACAGTAAAATAACGTGCGAATTGGCAATAACGTGGCATTATTACGTGCAAATTGGCAATAACACTAAGTAATTTTATATCTACATAAGAATAATATAATAGTATGATGGTTTCCAAATTAGTTCATTTGCTATTCACTACAGAGTGAAGTATTTGGCAAATAACTGCTCTTCAAACGTATGAGTTACTTAACCATGCAAATTAGAAAAATGAAAACATATTGAAAATAATTATCAACAAACATTACCAAAACAATTTTGCTCGCAAGCAATATGCAGAGCTGTTCGCCCCTCTTTGTCTATGCTTTCCACATCAGCTCCCTTTTCTAGAAGCAATCTTGTTAACTCATAACCTGAAATACTGGCTGCCAGATGAAGAAGAATATTGCCTAAAGCAACATTATAGTTTAAACGCCAACCATCAGGATGTGGAAAATTTTCTGAAAATGAAAATTTCCTTCAGTGTAAACTTCTAGAAACCACGTAAGTATGAATTCATGTAAAATTTATTAAAAAGATTTTCTTATTAAAGTAAAACATGTTACAATTACTAAAATCTCTGTATTGTCTTTTTTAAATATTAGATTATAAAGAACAATCATTTTTTTAATCAGAAAAGATTATTTCAAATAAAATATTCAGTTCAAAAAATTAGCAAAAGAGTGGGGAAAGGTTCTTTTCCCTCACAAATGGAAAATGGAGATAACGCGACAGGTAGAATTTTTAATTTTTTATCAAAAACTACTGTTGTCTTAACAAAGAATCATCTGATAAAATGCTTTTATAAAATCTATGAATATCTGCTTAGAAGCTGCGTCTGTGCTTAGAAGTAATGAGTTATATCGTGTACAAAAGTGTATCGTAATAAATCTAAATTTTTCTGCCACTTGGAGAAAAATTAATTTCATCACTCAAAACACCCCTTTTCGCCCAAAAACTATTGAAATATTTTTTCCTATAAAACGATTATAATTTATATTCATTATTAAGAAGAATGGTAAATAAAATTCTGACAAAAGAAAAATCTCATGTATAAATAATAAGAAAAAAAAAGAAAATTTTAACTTAATATTAAAAGTTTTCAATTGAAGGAAAATCCGAAACTTGGGCTTAATTGAAAATAAAAATTAATACAATTTTTAAAATAAATTGCATTAAATGGATATAAAAGATTTAGTTAATGAAGTTCAGAATTAGTTCAGAAGTTAATTTAATTAAGTTAATTTTTTCAATGAAATTTGATAACAGCATTTTAATCATTTTACGCTTTTCCAAAATGCTTTTAAGTGAAGGATAGTATTTCAAGAATTCTTATTGATAAAATCTTTAAAAACGGGGCACTCAATTCTCTCCCAACATTGTGGCCTTCAAGGCTATACCGAGGTGATAAAAGTGAAACTGGAAAAAATTGACTTCTTTTTCAATGATCAATGAACAAATCCTAAAGATGTCAAAGGGAGGGAGAAACTAAATTTGTGCACTTTATAATAAACTGCTGTTATTAACTTACAGTAACAAATTCAATTTAAAGTTTAACCCTTTGACTAATAACGGGACGTATATGTCCCACTAAACGTTTAAAAATTACTGCTGTGCTAAAAAGTACTTAAAATCTCGCAAATGTTGGGGATCCTCTTCCAATAGTTGGATAATAAAGATGCCGCTATGCTCGTTACACACAAATGAACATAAAGAAAAGAACCAATATGGGTTGCCCAATGTGTAATGTTGGGTTATCCAAAGAATGCTTTGCCCTCTACCATACGAGGAAAAATATTTCATATACTATAAGTTTTGCAGAATAATAGTTGTGCTTATAGTAAGTCGATCGCTACGTGCGGGAGATATGTATCCGACCATTAACTAACCATTAGCTAACATTATTAACGGCTGGGGCATATTTGTCCAGCTTTTTGTCCAAAAAAAATTCCAGCTCCTAAATTTAAATTATTTATGACATATTTTGTTTACTTAGATAGAAAACTGGGTATTTTTTTCCTTTCTTAAATTTGTAGTCCAAGGGTTAATAATTCTTTAGAGTTATTAAAGATACGTGTGCAAATTAACTGCTACAGCTGCCTTCACTTTTAAAAATAGATCCCGATCAGGCAGTGGAACACTACCATTTGACAACGAAAGGAAGACTTACTCCGCATCGCAACCCAATCTTAAATAGCGTTTAAGCGCTTCAGTGCTGTGGTTCTCCAAAGCTTGCAGCGCTGCTTCGAGGAGATTTTTTATTACCTGCAAATGAATGTAATCAAATAAATTCTTCCATTTACAATAATTGTAAAATAATCTTTTTCAATTAAAATGATAGTGTAGCAATTCAGTTTGATAGTGTAGCAATTCCAGGGGTGATGCTTACACCTGTATACCTGGGCACAATGCACCATCCCATGTAGAATAAGTTAACCTTCCTAATTTTATATAGAGTTTGCTTAATTTGGGTTTATGCGACTACAGCAAAGCAACGAGGGCTATCAGCCTAAGAGGATGGATGCCTTCGTGGAGAACTTTCCAAGAGAAACTGGCTAGTATACACGTTACACATGGGAGAAAAAACGAAAACGTCCATGCAGCCAGCCCGTTCGCGAGATTCGAATCTCAACAGGGATGAAATACGGAGCAGACTTACAACATGAGATATACAGACAATTTATAGATACAGATACATAAAGTGAAACTATGCAAAAAAGTATAATATTTCCCATGATAGATATATTTTGTTAAGAACAGCCATTGACCGACAACTCTTAACCATATCATTGTAGTGATAATTGTAAATTTTGAGAACGGTGTTATTAATAACCCTATATCTCTCTTGGAATATTTTTGCTAGGAAGTAATAGTGTGTCCTAAGTTGTACGCCATTCAGTTCTTTATAAATACGGTTATTGCAAAAGTACGACGGGGCATCTACAATCTGAAGCAGGTCGCAGTTTTGCGCCGTCTGAAGTTTTTTCCTATTATTTTTACATGCATACGCCCAGACTGGACACGCATAATATAGCATGGAAAGCAGTATGGATTTGTAAATATGCAACTTATTGTCTATAGATAGAAAGCTGTTTTGAGTAATTAAGGGGTAGAGTTTAGTTTTACGAGCTCGAAAGTTCTAGATAATAGATGTAATGTGTGGCGTCCATGTGAGAGTATTATTGAGGATCACCTCAAGATAACAGACGTGCTTAGCCCAGGGGATCGAGATTCCATAGAACTTTGTTTTTCTGAATTTTTCTTTTCTTCTTTTAAAGGAGGGTTTCGTTTTATTACCCTCCACCATAATTTTCCATTTAGTGAGCCAAGTCTCCAAGTGGTTGGATGTATTCTTTTAATCGTTGGATTACTGGACTAACAAATGCAGTTTGAGTTAATGATAGTGTAGCAATAATCATAAAAACTCTGAAAGTGTGCGCCGACCTTTAAATATGTTAATAGGGATTCCAAAAGAATTACGAGTTTTGCCTCTCGCCTGTTGCTACTTCTACTTTCAACAATCTCACAAGCAAGAGTGAGTAACCCTCAGTCCGCCTCACTTTCTCATGCGCCCCGTTGAAGCTCAACGGCCCACCAGCGGTACGTCCGAAATCCGAATTCCACAAGAGAACTGGCTGCATGGCTGTTTTCGTGGTTTTCCACGTGCATATGAGCCAGTTTCCTTTAGAAAGTCCTTCGCGAAAGCAGTCCCTTCCCCTTAGACAGATAGCCCTAAAGTGCTTTGCCGTAAACTCAAGTAACTAAAATTGTTGAAACTCAAGCTTGACAAAGTCCGTTTAGTATTAGGGTTAGCAGGCTTAAAGAAGACACTACATTTAAAGTAAACTTATCGTTCAATAAGGCTTTAAATTTATTTTATTGTTCAGCACATGCGTCTTAACTGTGTCTGACTAATTATGAGTCAAAATCTAAATCTACCTCCAATGCCATAAATTACGCCATTACCCGAGACGGAATGGGTTATCTGGATACTGCCTATGCCTCATCTTAGATGATAAATCCAACAGGTGCAGTTTCTACGCCCTCTGCTGTAAATTCAAAAGGTGCGAGACTTCAGCATACAAGTTAATTCTCGTTGAAGACTCTCTTATTCTCCATGAATCCTCACAAACATTTTACGTGAATGCCCAGCAAGAATTTGATTTGAAAGAGCGGCCATAAAAGTCAACAACGATCGCATATCGTACACGCACTTTTCCAAACACCTGCTGGAAAAGACTACTTTGTTATATTAATAGTATATATATAGTGCCCATTTTCGTAGTCCATTCAACATTAGGGTCTCTTTCAGTAAACACAACTTCTAACGTTCAGTCTTTGGACTAGAGTTTTACAAAAGTTTTCAAATGTCATTACAGAAATGAAGTTCACAAACTGCTGAATAGAACTGAATTTTATGAAAATATAAGCACTTCGAAGAAGATAAGAAAGTTTATATCTCTGCTAGAATTTATGCACATCATAGTTATTACAAGGGTTAATCGTTCAAAACTAAAAACTTTTTCGAAAATGTGGCTTTCTTGCAGAAGAATTGAAAAATATAGCTAATGTTTCAGATAATCATCTGAGGTAAGTTACGAAGATCAATTTTTAGAATATGTATCAATTCACAACAATATTGAGACAAGAGAGTAAAAACTGATTACTAAACAAAATCAAAACATACAAAAATTGATAAATTATGTCATGAAAACATCAATCGAATTTAGAAAAACAGATAAAATACTAAAAAAACCTCTTGAATTGGAAAAGGGCTGAACAAAAATGCTACCAGCAGTTTTACGAAATTCAGAATACAATTAAAAATTTTTTGTTGAAGTTTCATCTCTTACAAACAACCATTTCAGAAATGTTAAAGGTCGCAATTAAAAAATGTTTTATAAAAAATTAAAAAAAAAATTTCAAAATTGCGTAATTGGCTTAATTTTAGTATAAACTTTTAATTACTGTTTTAGTATTAATTATTATTAATTGTTAGCCGCTACTTTAAAACTTTAAAACTTACCACTATTTGCAATACACAAATCGCTGTGTATTAAACACATCCGTTTAATAAATTCAAATATGTTTAGAATGGAAGCAATTTTAATAAGCAGCGGTTACTGTATTAGTTCTGCCTCAGTTTTGATGGTGAACACACCGGGTGGCGGTCTGAGTCTTTCCCACTCTTCACTAATCCCCAGACACTTCAAAAGATTTTCGGCTCGCTGTGTATTTTGGTCATCTAAAAGCATTTATGCCTTTTCTGGAACTCTAACACGAGCTCAGCGTTATAGCAGCAAAAAGCGCTAACCATTAAACAAAGCGGCATTTTCGGGAAACGAAATCTTTCCCCATTTTTCTTACGGGCTACAAGAATTAAAGCAAACATATTTCACCTATGCGAAAAGCTGTTTTGAGTAATTAAGGGGTAGAGTTTCGTTTTACGAGCTCGAAAGTTCTGGATAATAGAAGATGTAATGTGTGGCGTCTCTCCATGGTACGTGAGCTTAACATCATTCTGTAACTGTTTTATGTCCTTCTTTTATCAATTACAACAAAGCACGCATGCGGATATGAACTCTATTTTTGGTTTGGTTTATCCGATTACGGCAATGCCACGAGGGCTATCTGCCCAATATCATACACGCATTACACATGGGAGAAACCACGAAAACGCCCATACAGCAAAACCCTTCGCGGTATTCGAACCTCAGACCGAACTACCAGTGTTCAGCTACTTTACCGTTTGGCCGCTGGTGGTCCTTACTTTGTATTTAACTGAAACTCAAAAATTTTTATGCATTTGCTAAAATCATACCATGCAATAACTGTATAACTACAAAGGCAATTAGAAAAAAAAATGGGTACTTTTCCGTTTACCCGGCGCAAATCTCGCCAAGCAGACTTTATTGGCGACAACACACAGTATACACATAAAAAATTTTAACAAATGTTAGTTCTAAGAAATTTTTATTTTGAAGGCATAAACATTTTAATATCGTTTAAAGTTTTGTAAAAAGACAATAAATAAAAGACAATAAATTTGTAAAAAGACATTAAGAATTTATTATGCTTTCGTGGTACTGCATCCTGATTCGCCGTTTCATATCACGTGACCCAGTTATCTCGTCACACGTAAACTATGTTACAAAAATCTATTTCTCTCAGTAATTATCTACATTCTTAATTTGAAATATAAGTTTAAATGCAAGAATTATATTTCAATTCGTACGAATAGCTTACTCAGAAAATTATGTGAAACCGCAGTGCTTTACTTCGCTAGTGCATTCTCATTAGAATTGATGAATTTAACCCTTGACTTTGCCTTTTCTATATTTTCGCCTTTGAGAGAGCGGTTGTTATTGCATCCTAATTGACTTAATTACTGCGAATGGCCCCTTATGGCATAAACTGAATTATCTGGTACAAATTCTATGTAATTGTATACTAGTATTGAAAGAAACAATCAATATGATAAGAAATGGCTGCGACTTGTTTAGAAAATAAGGCGTAAAAGTTTACCAGCGAGAAAATTCCGTTTGTCATCGGTTGTACATTTTTGGCGACTTTTACGCTTGCGCCGACAAAATGGAAAAGTACCAAAAAATGCGATTCTAACATAACCTTAACAAAATTTTAATTGAATTTGGTATATATTTATAAATATAATTTTTTTATTAAATTTACTAGATTTCTTGTTTCACTGTTCGAAAATTAGGCTCCGTGAAAGTAAGATTTTCTGATACTTTGGTATTATTTATAAAATTTGTATTTGAGCAATGTTAACAAATTTTTCGAATTTTTTTAAAATTATAATCCATAAAATGTTTACCATTTTCTTAACGTAGATGTATTTTTAGATATACCTGCACAAAATTAAGAGTTTTTCATTCAAAATT